CCTCACCATATGGAGGACATCATGGCCCCACCAAAACGGCGGCCAAGATTAATGAGTCAGGTTTCTATTGGCCTACTATGTTTAAGGATGCTAACATTTTTGTGCAGGCTTGTGACTCTTGCCAGAGGACTGGCAACATCTCACGGCGGCATGAGATGCCTCAAATTGGAATTTTGGAAGTTGAAATTTTTGATGTTTTGGGTGTTGATTACATGGGACCGTTCCCTTCTTCAAAAGGGAACCGCTATATACTTGTCGCCGTCGATTATGTATCCAAGTGGGTTGAGGCCATCACTACTCCTACTAATGATGCCAAGGTGGTCCACAGACTTTTAAGATGACTATCTTTCCAAGATTTGGAGTGCCTAGAGCTATAATCAATGACGGAGGATCTCACTTTCATGAGCGGAAGTTAGACACCCTCCTCAAAAAGTATGGTGTCTACCATAGGACAGGTTTAGCCTACCATCCCCAAACTAGTGGCCAAGTTTAAGTTTCCAACCGTGAGATCAAGGCCATTCTAGAAAAGATGGTGGCAAAATCAAGGAAAGACTGGAGTGATAAGTTGGATGACACCCTTTGGGCATACAGAACCGCGTTTAAGACCCCAATAGGTACTACTCCATATAGACTCGTGTACAGTAAAGCATGTCATCTTCCGGTAGAATTAGAATACAAGGCATATTGGGCTATTAAGGAGCTCAATTTGGATGCCAAATTAGCGGGAGAAAAGAGGTTACTTCAACTTAACCAACTCGATGAGTTTAGGTTGACGGCCTATGATAGTGCTCGTGTCTACAAGGAGAAGATAAAGAGATGGCACGACAAGATGATCCTTCCAAGAGAATTCAAAGAAGGTGATAAAGTATTGTTGTTCAACTCCAAACTTAAAATTTTCCCAGGAAAGTTGAAGTCAAGGTGGTTGGGTCCTTTTACTGTCAAAAGGGCTAATAGATTCAGTTCTGTGGAGGTTTTCGATGAACATGGTAACGAGTTCAAGGTTAATGGCCAAAGACTCAAGCTATATCATGAGGGGGCTACGATTGGTGCAGTTGAACTACTTCACCTAAGCGGTTCCGATTCACTTTGAGCTTCAATGTGGTAAAAGGGTCGTGCGGGACCTAGATAAACCAGCGCTTTGCGGGAGGCAACCCGTATTTCTTTCTTTCTAGACTAGTTTTTATTTTATTTTATTTTTATATTTTTTTAGAGAGGTGAGGAGAGTGAAATTTTACCTTTCATAAGTGTTTTTGTACAGGTTTTAGATCATAAAGTAAGGAGTTTTCAAGAGAAAAAGTTTGAAGAAAAAAGAACCATTTGATTGGGTATGGGCCTGATCGGGCGCGCACCTAGAGGTCAGAAATCGAGAAAAAAGTGCCCGATCGGGCAAGGAGTCCTGATCGGGCGCGAAATATGGATTTTATCGGAGCTTTAATTCGCCCGATCGGGCGAGGCACGCCCGATCGGGCGAGCAAGGAAGGAAGAAAATCAAGGGAAATTTCGCCTAATCGGGCGAGGTCGCCCGATCGGGCGGAATTTTGGAGAAATCGAGTGACACAAAAAGAAATGTCGGGTGAAGCTCGCCCGATCGGGCGCGCACTTCATACTTCAGCAGAACACACTCTCGCCCGATCGGGCGCGCCTATTTTTATGGCCGACATTATATTTCTTTCTTTTCCTTTCTTTTCTTTTTCTTTCTTACTTCTTCTTCTTCATTCACACTTTCTCTCTCTAAAACCTCCATTTTCAAACCTCCAAACTCACTTTCCTTTCAAGATCTCCTCAAATTCATCCATCAAAACTCAAAAATTTTCACATATTCTTAAGGAAAATTTACACTTTGGTGTTCCAACGTTTAAGTAAATTCCACTTTGGTGAACCATGGTTTCAATATTCCCACTTTAGTGTCCTGTCATTAGATAATTGTTCAATATTAGTGCCTAATAGTTAACGGTGTTAAATTCTCCATTAATTTTTTTTATTAAACTAAAGCAATAAAGCCACATATTAGCATAAAAACGTAATCAGACCATTATATATATAAGATGTCCATATATATGTACATGAACCAATAGTAGTGTAACTTTTTTCTCCTCATGAAACTAAGATTACAGCTAATAAAACAAAAATATATCCTTAGTCATGCATAAATTAATTAAAAACAATTAAAAAGTCAATGTACTGCACTTTCAACATCATTGTTTGTAACCCAAAAAATTTCATGACTACATGCCCAAAAAGTAATATTAATAATTAAAAAAAAAAAAAACTAAAATACTACTGTTCAGTGAGGAACTTGGTGTATTGCGACGATACAATTGTTGTAAGATATTGATCTGTTCAGGTTCTCGTCTGATTCCCATTGTTGTTTAGCTTGCTCGACTTTTTTTTTTTAGTTTCTCCTCCTTGACAACCTCTTTTATTGTGTCCAAGACACTTGCAAATGATACATCGAACAACTATGGACCTTTTCATATTAGGAGTCTCACCTTTTTCTTTGTGCCTCTGAGTTTTAGGTCTCCCAGCTCTCCTAGTCAACTCGGGATGAGTAAGTCGTGGTTGATCATCTTCTGGCCACATATTTATGTCTGAAATTGGGTGTATGAAACCTTTTTAAGTCCTTAAATAGGCTTCCTTAGAGTAACAAGGATGCACAAAATCAGTAATCTCCTTCCTTAGATACATGATAGCAGATGCAGCATGTTTGCAAGGGATTCCCACATTTTTCCATGCCTGACACATACAAGTCCACTTATTCAAATCCACACAAAAGTAAACATGCATATCTTTGACTTCAAATACTCCATAGCCGGAAGCAGTTGGTTTACAAAAATATCCATCACCCCAAGCCCAATCTACCATCTTCTTTACTTTAGGGCACAATTTGCCATCCTATTTCAGTGCAAACCTTCTCTTTTTTTCCAATTTCTTCATACATTGTCTTCTAAGTCCCTCAAGCATTGTCTTAATAGGTTGGCTTCTCAATTCTCTAATTTTTCCATTAAGAGACTCGACAAAATTGTTAGTCACTTCTGGAACCGATATTTATAAGAATGGGTCATGTTCATGGAATTTGGATGAAAATGATCAAAATATAGAAATTAAAACAAATAAAAAAAATACTTGAGTTTAATGAATTTGATACCTTGAGTTCTTGATCAAACATATGTCTAGCCCATAATTCCAAAGGTACGTCATTCAAATAATTATAAGCATCTGTATGATTCTTTTTTATTTGTGCCATTGCCTTAAGGAATACATATGGAGAGTGTGCTTTTGTGGCTACCCAAAAGTAGTTCTTCATTAAATCTCCATGTCGTTGCTGCTTAAAATTGGCGTACAAATATCTTGCACAAACCCTCCTTGATACTTCAGGAAATTGTTCATCCAACGCAATGTCTAACCCCTAACATCATATGTAAGTGATGCAAAAACGTTAAGAAAAAAATTTAATAAAAAGTATTGATAAAAATATTATGAGTCGTTACCTTTTGTCTGTCACTCATGATAACCCATGTCTTTCTAGTTTCCTCATCCGCCATTCTCTTTAAATGATAAAAAAGAAGGACCAATTCTCTTTAGTTTCTTTATCCACCACCGCATATGCAATGGGAAGAATCCCATTGTCACCATCTAAAGATGCAGCAACCAGCAGAGTGCCTTCATATCTACCCCGCAAGTGTGTACCATCTACACCTATGAAGGGTCTACAACCACTAAGAAACCCATTATAAAGAGCGTCAAAACTAATGAAAATTTTCTTGAACATAGGATTTGCAGAAGGCACTTCAGGTGTTCTCCATGTAATCCCACAAATTACACGACACTCTCTATCAAGGATCATTTGTATGTAAGTGGGTAACCTAGCATAACACTCCTGATGAGACCCATCCATCATATCCTTTAATATGCTCCTTGCTCTATATAATTGACTTTTCTTACACCTAATCCCATGTCGTTGTATAATCAATTCTTTCATTCCCTTGACCGTGATTTCAGGGTTGGCCCTAAAATCATCTTTTAGAGATTCAGCAATCCAAGGAGATTTTATTGTAGGGTTCTTATCAAGCCTGACACAAGCACTACAACAAATTAACACTTGTGCCACGAATTATGCCACGGGAATACAAAATTCGTGGCATAATTTGAGCTAGCCACGGGAAAAATAAATTCAATAATAAACTTGATATGACAACAAAAATTATGCCACGGGAAAAATGAAGTTCGTGGCTAATTGAAACTAGTGCCACGACTAAATTTTTTTCCCGTGGCAAATAAACACTTTTGCAACAAGAAATTATGTTCCCGTGGCAAAAGGACATTGTTGCCACAACAAATAATTTTTCTCGTGGCAAACATACACTAGTTTCATGGGTACTTTTTTTTTATACCGTGACAATCATTCTCACACTTGTGCAACATTAAAATTTATTTCCGTGGCAGTATGTTAATACAAACAGATCATATTTTTTGTAAAGAAAATAAACTTAAATTAATGTTATCAATCTTTTAGTTTTAATCATGAGATATAACCTATGTAAAAATAAAAAGTTTTTTACAAATTCTTACAAGTAAAATTGATGGAAACTTGATTATGCACCACTATAAATTAATAATCGTATTACATTTACTCAAATAAAATTCAAATTATTTCATTTTCAAAATATCGCACCTTGTAATTATTGTTAATAATTTTCGAAAAAAAACCTTAGCGCAAAAATAGCCTACAAAACATTTTTTTTTTCAATTTGTAATTATTAATTCTGGGTCTTTTGTTTGCATTTTTCAAGATTAGTTTATAATACAAATTGTATAACATATACATAAAATAAATTATTCTCAAATGAACTTCTGGAAATTGCACTAAGCTGGTAAAAGGTACAACACGTTTCCCTAAAAGATTATACATGAGCCAAATTGTTAATAACACTTCCTATTATAAAATTTTGCAGCAATACTTCATATAGATGCATGTCTTAAAATACTAAGTAAAAAGGATCTTAAAATCAAAAATAGTTTTTGTGTACCACGAGCTTTCTCCAAAGAACAATTGCTACCAAGAAAGCTGAATAAAAGGTCCATGTTTCATTTTTGACAAGATATACAGGCACCAAAAAAACAAAACCAAGTCAACAAACCAACTAAATAAAACTAGAAAGGTACGACACTAGCATGGCACTAAGGGGGAACCAGTTTGGAATAGCCATCCTTCGATATCCTCCTTTTGGGAACCTTAGCTAGTTCTAAAGGAACATCTAACGCTAAATTAAAATCATTTGATAGAGCTACACCAATGTTTGCAAGCAAGTTCGCTATGCGATTGCCTTCAGGATAGCCTTGAAGCACCTGGACTTCCCAATCTTCCTTTTGTATCAAATCATTACAGAAATCAATTAAGTAGGCACATTCACTCACATTATCTTGCTTGTTTAATTTGATAGCACTTCAATATAAGCCTTATTATCTAACTACACCACAAGTGTGTCAATACTGAGATCCCTGGCTAAGATCAGACCCTTCTTAAGAGCCAGAATTTCAGCTCGAAAAGCTGAGCAACACCCAAAGTTGGCTGAACACCTCGAAATCAACTTCTCTCATCTCTGATAATATCCCCTCCCCCAGCTAGCTCAAGAGAGCCATTTGCTGCTCCATCTGTGTTAAGCGTGCACCATCTTACTGGTTAATGGGAATGGGATTGGCTATGACTGCAATGCCTTCTACAGAAGCTCGGTCTGTCCTTTGCTAAAACCGGTAGCAGTTGCAGCAGATGGAACGCGCCCAACATACTCAATGTCGTCAGCAAACACAATGGTCGAAAGATGTGGACATAGATGAGGTGAAATATAGCTGTAAGCGCCCATGTTCATTGGCTCTTCCTGACACCAGACTACCTCAACATCTGCAGCAAATAGTCCAAGTCAAAATTCCTTTTTTTTTTTATAAATATAATGGAAATTCTTGTTTATTTATATACTGGAATTTCCAATTCTAAATTCTGATGCAACCAAAATTCTTGTTACATGATGCTAGAAATCCGATTATTAAGGAAAGTCTTGGTGTGTTTAGGAAACAACAATTATGTATACATCTTGTTTCTTAGTCTTGTATTATTAGGATTCTAGTGCTTTACTTAGTCACCAAGGCTTTGTGCTTAGATATAATGTAGCACATTTCCACAAGTTAAACTAAGTTGATTATATGCAGCTTGAAGTAAAATGTGGAACGCTTAAATAACTGAAACTACACATCTCCAATGCCATCCACAGCACCAGCAAATCCCTCATTTTAAGTAAACTAGCTATAACAAATGTAACCAGACCAATTTAAAAATTTGTATATCGATTCAACTCTCAATGGACAAGGTCATATGGGAAAAGGCAAAGCTGCTCCACTCCACAGACCGCAACATCACTGCTATTTTGTTTTTTCCTGTGTTCATCAAGCTGAAAATGATCATACATGTTTTTAAAATGACAACTACTAACGTCCCTGTACCCTATGCCTGATGCATTAAACTATTAAAGGGTGGCTATTTCCCCTGTTTGCATCCTATGCAAGCTTGGCTAACCAAATAATTTTTAATAAGGATGAACTCCTCACCACAGGGCTGATTTCATATCATGACTCGCTTTTCTCAAGAAACTAAGGCCTGCATTTATAAGAACCGATTCTGCACGTGGGTATTTTTTTTTCTTGGATCTATGATAAGAGAGCTTCTTAGATTTAAGACACTACAACAAATTGACTCTTGTGCCACGAATTATGCCACGGAAATTACTTGAAAATAGAGTGATGATAGATAACTAGAGCAATTACTTGAAAATAGACCAAGAGCAACACAGGACAATAAAATTAAAAGAAGGGAGTGTATGCATATATATAAACATCAATCCCAGCAATACCCTTGAACACTTGAAGCAAAGTAATACCCTTGCATATATATCTTTTATTGATGCAACCAGAACTACTAATAATAGTGCAGAATATATGTCAGACCATTTTTTCTAATTTCATATGTTTAAAGTCATAGCTATTAAATTGAATATAGAAATAGTACTCTAATTGGTGATGGTTGAAAGTTTTTAGGTGTACATTGCCATTATTCTAGACACTAATTACGTGTGATAAATCACTAGATTACATGAATATTATCTCTCCTCACCAACTGTAACACCAACCCAAAACTTCCATTATCCCGTGATCCGCCATTGATAAACCTTTCTTACCTCTCATCTACTCCAACATCTAAAGATAAATTATTTGTAATTTAAAAAATAATCAATTTTCTCAATTGTGTGTTAACAGCCTGATTAAGGTCGAATAGATAGAAACAAAATTCAGGTGCAATTGTTCAATTTTATTCCCCATTTTCTTAGGTCCTAAAACTTGATAAAACAATACTCCATAATTATAATGATGATGTACTATGCATTTGTTAATTGCTTATATTGTACGGAGTAAATAAATAGACTTTACAGATACTTCAAAATTTTCCATGTTTTGGAATTGGATTTAAATTATGAGTATCCAAACGTAACATAAAGCAATTGCAAATTTATACTCTCAAATCAATTGAATGAATTATTATGATAAAATGAATAAACAAAGGAGTGTTACCAAACAATGCTTTTACAAAGATGATGAATGGATGGCGCAGATATGAGATCTCGTCTAGCTTCATGAGAACGGACTACTTTGAACTTGAAATCGCTGATACCATTCGACCGCAATATGCCAGAAAGACGCTATGCGGTGGCGTCAGTGGCGGCGTCATCTGAAAAGAAGAAAAGGAAGAGAGTTGGAGCTCAAGTTTTGTTATTATTTCGAGGATTCATCTTCGAATTCATTATAATTCCTCCATCTCTTGATCTATGGGAAATGGTGATAGATTAAAAAAAAAATCACAATCTATGGAAACCCCAAATTGATATCAACTATGTTAAAAATAAATTAAACCGATAGAAAGAAATGACCTATAATTTGAGATTTCCTACTTCAGTAGAGAAGAGAGTAGATGATTGAGAAGAGAATGGAACATGAAGAGAAGAACTGAAGAACACAGGAGGGAGTAGGCTTTCCTTCCTTTTTTTTTTTATTTTTTTTTTTTTTATAATAAATTACATGTATTTGGAGGAAGTTTTTCCGCCAAAGACTGCTTTTAGAGGGGAGAATTTCCCTAAAATTTTAACTACGTTGTATGGTTAATTGCTTATGGAGGTAATTTTCCCTCCTAAATTTCACTTGTATATTTTGTAGAATTGCAATATTGATAAAAAAAAAATTATTGGTTAACAACTTTATTTATAAAATTGTAATTTAGTATACGACTTTCTTGCTACTTTTTACTTTATTTTTTTGAGTGTAAAATAATTACATAACAATTGAGTAGTAGATATATACTTGTCAAAAAAAAAAAAAAAAAAAAAAAAAAAAAAAAAAAAGAGTAGTAGATAAATGAGCATAGTTGCAAATTTGCATTACACATATGATGGAAAGTTTTATTTAGTTACATTATTAGTTTAGTTGTGTGGTCTTGTAAAATATAAATTATGTAATTTAATAGTATTGAAAAACTGCATATGAAGTGAGCTAGCTAGACCAAAGACTAAACTATTACTTCCTCCGTTTTCTTGTAGATGCAATACACCCTTTAGCGCGGTAATTAAGAAATGTGGGGTTTACATGATATAATAAACTTTAAAATAGGATGAGTGATTGTTAGGAGTGTAATTTAGTGGGTCATGTGCTTTAAATAAGGGATATAGTATAATTTTTCCCTAAAGTAACTTTCCTTTTATAGTGTGTTTTAAGTATTGTGACATTTTCTTCTTAGGGAAGTGTTGCAAGTAAAAGAAAATGGAGGAAGTACATAATATGACTAGGTTTACTCTAAATGTATCAAGTTTTAATTCGAGATAGTTCATTTCGAATTGAAAACCCATACGAGTATATGAGTATGGCTAGATAAAAATATTTGGAATCAAGTTGTTAAAACGTGTTTTAACAACCAGCTAATATTACTCAGCTCTAATAATGTTGTTAGTCAACTTTTATTAGATTATTAAGATAGTATTTGGAGTATTAACTAGTAAGTTACTCTGTGACTATTTTTTTATTTGGCCTTAGTTAAATAGGTAAAATGATAAATTGATGTAATAACCTCATTAAATATTCAAATCTTAGTTGTAAGAAAAAATGATAATGTTTATCATTACTTAACTTTATAGCAATGATTTATGTTACATTGTTTTCTACACTAATGTTTAATTGCTTGAATACACGGAAGTTCACAAGCAGTTTAGTTATTGACCCGATCCAAACTCGTCCCGAATATCCAATTTGCCAAATCTAGTTATTACATGATGATGTGTTATTCACCTAAATCATTTTTAGTTTTTGACCCATTAATCAATAATAATTATATATACTACGTATATAGGAAACAATATAATAGTGTGTGTACTTGTTAGAAATCAACATTATTAATCTTTTATTAATAATCAATTGTTATAATTGAAATTACTTACTCTACTTTTCTTACAAACGACTGGGGTTTTATAGACTTGTTCTCTTTAACTTATTTCAGATAATTATTACTTATTCCTTAATAAATCCAGATCAGAACTTTTAATTATAATCACTTACTTATTGCTAAATATGGCTAATTTTGTATTTTGTTTTGATAATTATTAAATCAAATCAGACTAGACCAAATCTAAAAATTTAGATCATATCAGATAAGACACTAAACAAAACCTTACTATATCTCCTTGTCTTAGGTGACACTACAACAAATTGACACTTGTGCCATATCAAAATATATAATTTTGGGGCATACATAACTTAACCCAAAGTCCATTAACATTCATTCAAGTTAAAAAAAGCTTTGACTAATGTCAATATATTAGGAAATAATTATTATATTCACGACTAATTAATTTTAATCATGAGTACATATTATATAATATATTCTATAAAATTTCTATATATAGTAGTTGATTAGGGGATTTTTATCCACCAATCACCGTCTGACAAGTGGACCAACCAGGTTCCGCCACGTGTCCTTCACGTAGGCCAATAGGAGCCTGCCACGTGTCAATCACAGATACGTCCTCTACGGACCAATCGAGGCACGCCACGTGTCCACCCATGCCAAATGGGAAAACCGGCCAACAAGGCCCAATCCTGTCTAGAGGCCCGGTCAGCCCTAGGTTTACCCTAAACCTAGAGAGTGGCACGCTTCTCAAGACTATAAATACTTAATTAATCCTCATTAAAGGGAATGAAGAAAAACATCAAGGAATTGAGAGAGCAATTGATCAAGCAATTAATCTCACCTGAAGAACAGAGAAGAACAGAAACATTACGGAACACTAATAACCGGCTAATCTCGCTAACAAAGCAGATTACCAACATTAAACACTCTCACCTAGAGAGGTCTTATTACTTTAATTTCCGTATTAATTACTCCTTAATCAGGTACTAACTTGACCGTTGGAGGCGGAGCTCTCAGGAGTCTCCGTTATTTTGCAGGTACAGGCGTCCGGTTCCAGTCTCGGAATTGTAACTCTCCCGCAGGACATCAGAAAACCCCGAAACATTTGGCGCCGTCTGTGGGGAGAGTACTTCAGAGATGGCATCCAAGTCTGTACCGACTCCTGAAGAGAGGCGTCCCCTAAACGACCCTCAAGTTCAGTCGGACCATGACACCGAAAGTGAATTTGAAGTTGAAACTCATACAGCTCCAGACGGGACCCTAAGGGCCCGACGTACCCGTCATACCGAAAGGAGGGAACGGGAGCATCTTCAAACAGGAAGCGAGCCAGCAGGCGCACCGCCTGCTCGGCAACAGCCGACTGATGGGTCTGCTCCCATCACAAGGAACGAACTCATGACTTTCATGAGGGACTTCAAGGGAGAGATCCAAGAGTTGATCAACAAGAAGCCGCCTGCTTCAGTCAAGGAGCAGTCGGCCAAGAAGCCTTCCACTTCACAGAAGAGGAAGCCAGTTCAAGGGCGAGAGGCGACTCCTCATCCTAAATCTAGGAAGCGGGAGCCACCTGCCCTTGATTTCACAAAATTCCGTTATCCTACAGGAAATAGGAAACCGGTTCATCATATTCAGGCGGACGGGTCAAAGCAAACGTTCACAGATGCTCGGCTACTGCTAGAGCAGAAGAAGAGTGACCGATTGTCAGAGTCGGCTTCTACTTCAAATTTTCAAGACAGTTTGCGAAATGCCTCGATGAGGCATACTCAGTCGTACCATGAGAGTCAGTCAGGCGGCACCTCCCGTCAGTCCGGCTTTCATAGTGCCCAGGCGGTACCAAACTTACCATTTGTGCCGCAACAACAGTATTTTATGCAGCCACCTCCATTTGGTGGACCTGCAGCAAAAAACGTCCAACCTATGGACTGGCAGCTACGGTTGCTTAGACTTGGTGAACAGCCGTCGGCCTTCTCCAAGGAAATTACTGAAGCCGCTCAGCCGGCCAAAGTAAAAAATGTACTAGTAGGCGCCTATGACGGCACTACTAACCCAGAAGACCATCTGATGGCATTCACCAACCTGATGTACCTTCAAGGGTTGGATGATCCCACTTGGTGCAAGTGTTTCCCAGCGACTCTCAAGGGAATCGCACAGCAATGGTTCGGCAACCTGCCGACTGGTTGTGTAAACAGCTTCAGGACGCTTGCTTACTTATTTGCCTCCAACTTCGCCATGAACATCCCTGCGAAGAAAACGACCCTTGATTTGGGAACAATTCAGAAGGGCGAGAAGGAGGGGCTTCGTTCTTACATCAGGCGGTTCAACCTGATGAGAATACAGATTCAAGGGTTACCGGATGAGGTAGCTTATACTGACTTTTTTAGAGGTCTCAAAGACGGGTCTACCTTCAAATTTGATTTAGTTCGAAAAAGGGTGGCGACTCTTCAAGAGGCCTTGATTGAAGCAGAAGCCTATATACAGGCGACTGATCTGTGTACAATAAAACAGTCGGATGGGAAAAGGTTCGACAAAAGAGAAGGACGACAGAAACAGTCGTCTAACAAAGATGAGAAAAGAAAAGAGGTCTGGGCGGCTGATTCCTCTAAACAGCCGGCCCAGAAAAAGAAAAAAGAATTCAAACCATACTCCCCAAAGTATGTGTTTAACAAGGATAACCATTTTATCCTAAAAGAAATAAAGGGACGGTTCTCAATTGAGAAGCCGGTCCCCATGAAGGGTTCTGCAAACAACCGGAACCAAGACAAAATCTGTGCTTATCATGATGACGTTGGTCATCACACCAATGACTGCATCAGTCTCATGCGGTACCTAGACCGCTTGGCTGAGCAAGGTGATCTTGACACTTATGTCAAGAAATCTACGGGGAACACTTCCTCAAAAAAGCAGTCGGCCAAAAAGAATCAACAGGCCGACAGTTCCGATACAGATGATGCAGTCGTCTACACCATTGCAGGCGGCTTCTCAGGAGGCGGCCCCACTATTAGGGGCAACAAAGATAATATAAGGCGGTTAGATGTAAATTCCGTTCACCAAGAACGGCCGTCCAAATATACATTTCCTGAGATTGTCATCACTGAAGAGGATCTAGGAGGGGTAAGGGGGCCGCATGACGACCCTCTCGTTATTGAATGTAAAGTGGCCAACCAGAGAGTTGGCCGAATCCTCATAGATACCAGGAGCTCCTCAGATCTCATCAGCAGCAAATGTCTGTCAAAACTGAAATATCAGACGGACTGCATACATCCGGCCTCCCACCCTTTAATAGGGTTTGGAGGAGGAGGAGTCCACCCACTGGGACGAGTAGATTTACCCATTCGCCTGGGCGAAAAAGGGGAAGGACGACACATGGTAGTCCGGTTCCTAGTAGTAGAGGAACTCTCGGCCTACAACATGATTCTGGGTCGACCAACCCTGAATAATTCCAAGGCTGTTATAATCCCGTCTCTTATGCTGCTTAAGTTTGAGAGGGATAATGGAACAGTCGGCTCCCTAAGGGGAGATCAGAGGATGGCCCGAGAGTGCTATCTCTCGAATGTCAAGCCCACTGTTATGGCCACTGGGTCAAGTGGAGAAAAAACAGACCTTGACAATGTCAAGGAGAGTGCGCCTGTTCAAGAAACAGGCGACAAAAAGAGAAAGGCGTCCCAGACAGAGTCCGCAAGAAAAGCAAGAAAATAGCAATCATTGGCAGAGGAGCGGCCGGATGAGTTCCGCCCTCAGCCGGCTGGTGAGCATGCGGACCTGATCTTAGACGACTCACGTCCTGACCGAACAGTCAAAGTTGGGACGACTGCTCTGAGAAACCTTGGTGACGACTTTCACAACCTATTGAAAGAATACAAGGACATCTTTGCATTTGAAGTCCATGAAATGCCAGGCATTAGTCCTGATCTGGCA